GTAGGTATTGCAAGTCACGTGATGTACTTGTTTCGACTGTAAATTGCATTTGAATTTGATCAAGGGATTCCGATCGTATGTCAGCATGGTTGCATTGCTACTTGGCTTCATTTCTGGCCATTGACGTCTGTCTTAGTAGTGACAGTTATAATTCATTCTATGGCAGCGATAGTGAGACCACAGCAACGACGTATTCTTAAAGCTATGTGCGATTGCGAGCGCATGTTTGAGCGTGTGTGTGCGTCTGTCTGTATGTATGTGCGTGCGTGTGTTTTTTAAAGCAAAATGTCTGTGAAATGATCGTGGTGTCCAGTTTTGAAAAAAAGATGCATACGCATTCTTTGAGTTGATACTATAATAATACTCATACGTTTCTACCATGCCATGGCAGTTGATTCATAACCGTTTATTCCCCAGAAATCAAAATAAATTAGGCAACTATTCGGATTTAAGTAATGATAGGCTCCACTATAACGACAGTTCTGGGAACGAGAGGCCACGGATGACGCAGTCGCTGAAAGCGCAGCAATTAGCTGTGAAGAGTAACGTTCCTTGGTCACAACAGAAACCTTTCATTGTTGCTTACATTTGGAGTTCAGATGTGTTTCAAAGTTTGTCAATACCATACTAGGGCTCGTGGATTTCACCAAAGACTTAGTGGTAAACGCCTCCAAGGGACGCAGCTCCGGCTTGCTCTGGGAGTAGAGGCCGAGGTCTTACCACTTTGGCTCGAACCCACAGTCATAGGCTTCTGTCGTGACCAAGGGATGAAACATCGTCACAACGAATTGCGAGTGGAAAATAGTTCAGTGGAGTGATCTGCCGCTTGCACCATATACAAATTAGTATGCAATAGCTGAAATTGATACTGACGGACCACACGTTGATTTCTACTGTATGCACCCAGGACGTTACAAACTCATTGTCTGGTTCGATGATAAACAAACACATATATTCTCAACTATATAGTATGAACGTCTTACCCCATTGTTAACACTTTGCTGCTAGACGTAGCATTATCATTTCGTTGACACTTTGTTGTTTGCTAAACGTAGCATTATCATTTCGTTGACACTTTGCTGTTTGCTAAACGTAGTATTGTCATTTTGTTGACACTTTGCTGTTTGCTAAACGTAGTATTGTCATTTTGTTGACACTTTGCTGTTTGCTAAACGTAGTATTGTCATTTTGTTGACACTTTGCTGTTTGCTAAACGTAGTATTATCATTTTGTTGACACTTTGCTGTATACTAGACGTAGTATTGTCATTTTGTTGACACTTTGCTGTTTGCTAAACGTAGTATTATCATTTTGTTGACACTTTGCTGTATACTAGACGTAGTATTGTCATTTTGTTGACACTTTGCTGTTTGCTAAACGTAGTATTATCATTTTGTTGACACTTTGCTGTTTACTAAACGTAGTATTGTCATTTTGTTGACACTTTGCTGTTTGCTAAACGTAGTATTGTCATTTTGTTGACACTTTGCTGTTTGCTAAACGTAGTATTGTCATTTTGTTGACACTTTGCTGTTTGCTAAACGTAGCATTATCATTTTGTTGACACTTTGTTGTTTGCTAAAAGTAGTATTGTCATTTTGTTGACACTTTGCTCTGTGCTTGACTTAGTATTGTCATTTTGTTTGGACTTTGCTGTTTGCTAGACTTAGTAATATCATTTTGTTTAAACTTTGCTGTATATATACTAGACTGATGTATACGTACTCATACCTTGCCGATTCTGCGCCTATAACGGTTTTGATCAACTGCGGTATTTGAAAAACTTGAATCAGTTCTTCTGAGATGCCTAAATGCACTTCCTGGCGGCCCTACAGAACAATAAATGATTTCTCAGTTAAAAACAGTTTAGTTTATATTGTGATGTCCGAGACGAGGAAAATAGATGTATCGAGGAATTGGGCTATTTCCTTTCTGCTCAATACTGGATAACAAATGTGTCTATGTATGTAAGTGACTGGTCAGAAAATGGACCACGTGGGCTGTCACCTTTTTATTACACTGATTCTGTTTGCCTACTGTCTTCTGTTTATCCCGATGCTCTCTGATATTGGCAGTTATGGTCCGATCATATATTGCTTCCTCACCAGCAATTTTACTCAGCGTTTTATTTGGTTCGACGACTCGTGAAAGTCCGGGTTCGATTCGATCTTCAGCTTGTCGTAAAAGGCGACTGCTGACTTGGTTGACACATGTCATCGAATCCTATTTGCGTAGATCCATGCTCATGCTGTTGATCACTGGACTGTCTGGCCCAGACTGGATTATTTACAGACCGACACCATATGGCTGGAATGTTGCTGAGCGCGGTGTTAAACAACAACCAACCAAACCAAACCAAGTTTGGTTCGACAGTTTTCACATTCCCCAAGGCTTCACCACTCCGAGATTCCAGAACGTCTCGTGCAGCAGAATGAGCAAAATGAGCAAAATATTCAGCAACCGAATTTCCTGTCGTGTTGGCTGGGGCCCGGTAAAATACCGGCCTGGCATGACAAGCAGGTAATCAACAACGCCAGAGATGAATGGTGGAATTCCACCATAAATGTAAGGAAAGTCTCATAGATGATAGACTGAAAGAAATCCAACAGGCAATAATGCAGAAAATATCTGTAACACTTTTGGTCAATACTTCAAGGATCTATCTGTACCAAACATGGAAAGTAGCTTTGATAATCACTTTGCTAAAGAAATATGTAAATAGAAATATCAAATATTGAACTATTCACTCTCAGTGAGATTATAGCCATCGTCCAAAGATTAAACAATACCAAAGCCCCAGGGTCCGATGGACTCGCTAACAAACATGTCAACTATACAGGTAGATCTTTAATAAAACATATAATGATATTGTTCAACAGTATCATCACATACGAGTACATTCCACAAGCTTTTAATGTTGGCCACATTCTGCCCCTGCATAAAGGCCACGGTAAAAGTAAAGCTGACCCCTCCAACTACAGGGGAATAACATTAACGTCGATTCTTAGTAAACTGTTTGAAAGATTGCTCCTTAACATAATTGAAAATGGACAGCTGCAAATATAACGTTTCCCCACAACTTCCAATTTGGCTTTAGAAAAGACTTCAGTGCTGAGACAGCAGCTCTTACACTTGTAGAAAGTATTGTATACTATACGTATATGCTGGAGTCATATCAGCACTCCTATGTGCTCTATGGAGAGAACACAACTTGTCTGTGGAAAGCTAATACAAGATACAGCTTTAAACAAATGCTTTTAGCCCGCCTTGGCCAATACCACTGTAATTAATCGCTGATATACAAGAATAAGTTTGATTTGAAATCACCTGTTTTTAACATGTTACAGCTTGTTTCCAAATACAATCTGCTTAGTGAAATCCGTAACTACATTTGTGATTCTAAGTTTATGAAGAAAAGTGCTTGGTCGCAAATAGTCAAAGATAAGGTAACTACATATGATCAAATGCAGTTGGTAAATGTACTGCAGACAAGGTTGTCTCTCTCCAGATACCTAACAATAAGATCAGGACGAGAACATGGACTATGGATACTCACTATAGAACGACCTAAGAACTTCACTGACATTGCGAGAATCATAAGGCTTGGTGCAACTCCAATAGAATTAAAGGAAAGTCATCCTCACCTTGGATTCCTGCTGGCACATCTTCTCCTTTAGATTTCTGCTGACATATCCTCACCTTCGGATTCTAGCTGACACATCCTCACCTTGGGTTTCTTGCTGACACATCCTCACCTTAGGATTCCTGCTGACACATCCTCCCCTTGAGATTCCTGCTGTAACATCCTCACCTTGGGATTCCTGCTGTAACATCCTCACCTTGAGATTCCTGCTGACACATCCTCAACATAGGAATGCTGCTGCCACATCCTCACTTGACGATTCCTGCTGACACATCCTCACCTTGAGATTCCTGCTGTAACATCCTCACCTTGGGATTCCTGCTGTAACATCCTCACCTTGGGATTCCTGCTGTTACATCCTCAACATGGGAATGCTGCTGCCACATCCTCACTTGACGATTCCTGCTGTCACATCCTCACCTTAGGATTCCTGCTGACACATCCTAACCTTGAGATTCCTGCTGCAACATCCTCACCTTGGGATTCCTGCTGTAACCTCCTCACCTTGAGATTCCTGCTGACACATCCTCAACATGGGAATGCTGCTGCCACATCCTCACTTGACGATTCCTGCTGTCACATCCTCACCTTGAGATTCCTGCTGTAACATCCTCACCTTGAGATTCCTGCTGTAATATCCTCACCTTAGGATTCCTGCTGTAACATCCTCACCTTGAGATTCCTGCTGTTACATCCTCAACATAGGAATGCTGCTGCCACATCCTCACCTTTGAATTCCTGCTGACACATCCTCACCTTGAGATTCCTGCTGACACATCCTCAACATAGGAATGCTGCTGCCACATCCTCACTTGACGATTCCTGCGGACACATCCTCACCTTGAGATTCCTGCTGTAACATCCTCACCTTGGGATTCCTGCTGTAACATCCTCACCTTGGGATTCCTGCTGTTACATCCTCAACATGGGAATGCTGCTGCCACATCCTCACTTGACGATTCCTGCTGACACATCCTCACCTTAGGATTCCTGCGGACACATCCTAACCTTGAGATTCCTGCTGTAACATCCTCACCTTGGGATTCCTGCTGTAACCTCCTCACCTTGAGATTCCTGCTGACACATCCTCAACATGGGAATGCTGCTGCCACATCCTCACTTGACGATTCCTGCTGTCACATCCTCACCTTGAGATTCCTGCTGTAACATCCTCACCTTGAGATTCCTGCTGTAACATCCTCACCTTAGGATTCCTGCTGTAACATCCTCACCTTGAGATTCCTGCTGACACATCCTCAACATAGGAATGCTGCTGCCACATCCTCACTTGACGATTCCTGCTGACACATCCTCACCTTGAGATTCCTGCTGTAACATCCTCACCTTGGGATTCCTG